GGAGTGGACGGTGAATTTATGTACCTGATGTGCTTCTACCATGTAATGGCCAAGGCTCACGAGAAGCTCAAGGGAACTCCTGACCGCCTATGCGAGCATGTGATGAATGACATTTACGACCTTCATTTCGCACCGAGTCATCTGTCTATGATGAACACGTTAAGCATGTGATAGCGAAATGGTCATGTGAAGAGCAGCTGGCTGGATTTCGAAGTTATTTCGAACGCACATGGGTGACGAGCGCATTCTGGCGCTGGCAGTGTTTTCATACACCAAGTGGATACGCCACAGCGAACAACCCGGTAGAAAAGCTCAACCAGTATTTCAAAAGGAAGCGGCTTTTGGGGAGGGCGCGCAAAAGGGAAAGTGCCACTCCCACAGTTCAGGCGGATGGAAGCTTCTAGAAGCTTCCACAGCCGCCCTACGCCTGCTGTGTTCAATTTAATAGCATGTTACTATATCATACTAGATCAAAGTAGTTTCTACACCTTTGCCAGTCCAAATCGGCGACAGTGTAAAGCAAGGCGGTGTGAAGTAACTTAAGTGACAAAGAAATTTTTAATTTTTATTTTCAAAAATTGACTTTAGAGCAATGGCGATTTAGTGCAGAGCTAACTGGTGGTCGGCATCAAAACAGGTTAAAAAATGTCTTCGCCCTTTGCTTCTCCCTTCCGAGCACCATCGTACCCGGCACCCCCGCGTTGATACTCCATCTCATGCTACCTCGGTCGTCGTCGACACGTGCAAAATGCAACTTAGGCCACACACTCGACACGCAGACAGAGCCGTCGCGACTGGGCGCTGCTGGACGACTCCATGAGCATGCGGAAGATACCCTCCTCGCTGTAGCCTGCCTTCTCCAGCATCGTGATGTCGTCCTGCGGTTGCCTGCCTGTCCCCCGCCTGTGTTTTCTCCCGCTGATGCTGCGTCGCGTTCACTGAAGTCCTCCACACACATTGCGGGGTTCGAGCCAGCCCGACCGCTGGACCACCGCGTCGAGGCACTGCGCTGCCGCCGATGCCCACGCCGAACTCGTAGACGGTGACGGTGGACCAGCGTACGCTCTTGGTCGCCATGGCTGCTGTGTATGTGGCTGTTGGACTGGGGCGAGAAAGGAATGGAGGAAAGACCCAGAGGGCGTCGGCTGTATGTCGTTCACGCGCCCCTCCCGGGTGGCCACTCACTCGCGCCGCTGCCATGCAAGCACCAGATTTGGTGGATCTGCTCCATCCACTTACAAACACTCAGTGGCTTGCCTTGCGCTGTTTTTCCCAGTCAGCGCTCAGTTCAACATCGTCCGCTTGCCCAGAAAACAGAGCGCCGGATGCAGCTGCTTGAAAACGCTGCAGAGCATAGCTTCCATGTATGGATCTGCGCTTGGTTAACAAGATGGCGCGCCACTGTGCGTTGTCAGTGGCAGCTATTCGTAGCGAACCTATGGAGTACGGCACGTAAAGTTTTGCACTACACTAAATCAACTTTGCATGACAGGCTTTTTCTAAAAAAATAAATTCAAAAATTAAAAAAAATTAATAACGGGACGTTCCACTTTGCTTTACACTGTCGCCGATTTGGACTGGCAAAGGTGTAGACTACACCTTATTGGAATATTGACCACTCACATTCTTGATACACTCACCCATCCCCGAAAAATCGCGCTCCGCCTTTCCCAGCTGTCACTTGGGAACTTGCTTGAATGAACCACACGTGACTTTCTGGCTTGGTTGTCTAGCACTAGCGCTAAAGTGCTATGGTTTTGAAGGAGGCTTCGGCTGAAGCAACGCCTTGCATGGGAAGCGCAGGTCGTGCTGATAGACTTTCTCCTGTCATCGCCATGTTCCAGCAGGTTGCCTCTGAAAGGGCGTTGGTGCCGCCGCTCCTCCAAGAAAAAGTAGCGGCGGAACCTGACTTCGGCCTTGTGCCCGATCTCCTCGCGGAAGCTGAGTCCCTGCGTCCGCCTGTTACGGCACCTTCGTCGGCCTCCGTTCCGCCAGCGCACCTCGATCTTGGAGGTATTACTGCCACCGAGCTCTCGGAGTTCCTTCCCGCTGGATCGGAGCTCCCGCTCGAGATCGACGCTTCATGGGTACCGCCAACACCACTATTTTCTGCTTCAGTAGACGCGTCCGCGTCGCTTGATGCTCTGCTGGCTTCACCGCGCTCGTCTCCGGCGTTGCTTGAGGTTTCGTCATCGCCTGCCGCCCCAGCGGCGCCTGTGCCGCTTCTTACTGCGCCGCCATCACCTTCTACCCCAAGTCCAGTTGCATCACCTCCTGCAGCTTCGCCGGCAGCGGAGCCCTTAGATGGTGACGTCGCCGATGACAGAGAAGACTGAGATAAGGACGATGATGTGGACCCGTACACCGCCACCAACCTGATCCGTGCTTCGATGACGATTACCGAGCGTCCTCCATTACCAACACTGCCTGAGCGCCATCCTTCGGCTCACTGGTGGAATCGCTACGACCCGGAGGCGCCTGTTGATCCGGAGGCTGCGTACGATGTCCGCAAACTTATCGATTGTCAGCCACACGTTGCCAATCTCGTCGAGTAGAAATGTCGACCCTGTCAGTTGAGCTGGGAGTGGCCGGAGAGCTTGAAGCACGTGTACTATTGCATGGATCAAGTGAACAAGTGGAAGGCTGCAAATACGGACCTCTCCTTCAATGCGTTCTACGGCAATAACTTCCGGCTGATCAAGCGCGACTACACTCTCCGAACAAAGCACAAGATCGGAACATTGTTCCAGCTGCTCGCTAATTGCTGCAAGCACCAGTACGCCAATCTTAATGTCTTCAAGGAGCTAGCGGAACCAACCCAGCAACTAAAAGCTCGAGTGAAAGATTTTCGGCGTCGTGGTCTTCTTGCTGACATGACCCCTGGCCGATCGAGCACTGAGTTCTTGTTGGTTTCCCCAAACCCAGATGTTGTTCGAGTGTTGTCACGCGGCTGCTCTGGCGTTTATCTGCCTGAGCTAGGCCGTAGCCGAGAAACAGCTCCTGTGTCGGCCCAGATGGGCGTCAATGATGCTCGCATGGAGACAGAGGTTCAGCCGCATGGTGGCTGGAACGTGGATGTTACTACGATGTCGTGTGAGTGTAAGTATTACTTCAAGTTCGCAATTTGCACTCACCTTCTGTTTGCTCTTCAAGTTAAGAGCTACACTGGATTGGATGGAAAGAGGACCCTCGTCAACGGCACTACCTAAGAATATCCCCCGTTCTAAAATTTAGAAGAACAGCACGTTCTTAAATTAGAAGCGGTTTTGAAATTCCTTTTTTTATCGAGATGCTTACCGAAGCTCACGCAGGTGCCTACACTTGGTAGTGCTTGCGAATGACCATGACGAGGCCTTCCATGTAGGTGGACACGGGTACTTTACCCGCGAAAAACCACGACTTCCACAGGAAAGTGTCCAGGTAGCCAGACAGCAAGTCCTTGCGGATCCCTCGCATGCGCTTGAGATGGCGCTTGATGCGCACCTCCCACACACCCTCAATGCGATTCGTATGGGCTCCTGTCACTGCGTCCACGAAGCACTCTTCGTGGCCCACCCAGCGGTGCGTATAGTTTTTGCCGCTAAGCATGCGTTTGTTCTCGAGTGTGTGTTTGCCATTCACACTCACGTAGGAAGCAAACTGGTCACTGAGGATAATGGTGCCCGCCTTGACGAATTTGCGCAGAATAGGAGACAAAGTCTTCTTCTTGCGGTCGGCCCCCGTTAGGATGCCGAACCACTAGCTGGTGATGCGGTCAATGCCACCAAAAAGCCAGTTGTCCTCGTGTTGTCGCTCGCGCCCGTATTTAGATTGCTTCTTGAGACTCGTTTCATCGATCTCGACGATGTGCCCTGGACCACAAATCTGCATGCACATTTTTAGTTGGGACTAGTATGCCACGTTAATCAAATAAATAAATGTACCTCCATGTTGCAACGTAGCATTTATTTTGAACACACATCTCGACAGAAGCTGTACCAGTCAATGGCAGTGACATCGGAGATGTCGAGCCACTGCTGTGCAATGCCGGCTGGCAAATCGCTGCACCAAAAAAGCAGTAGGCGTAGGCGCTTCGAGACCGGCAGCTTCGACTTTGCAAAGAAGCTGCCAGCTCTCACACTGATCTCGTGGTCACCGCATCCTTTACGGCGGCAGCGCCAGCGCTTACACGCCGTGTCCATCGTCATTTCGCTGTCGCAGTGGCGAGACAGTATTGTTCTCGAAACGAGTCCGTGGCGCATCATGAAGACCACAGCGGACCTCTCGTCTACGGTTGCCGCCATCACCTTCTCGAACGTGAAAGCCGACGACCCCGGCTCCGAAGTGTGGTAAATGTACGGCAAGGGTTCTGCGGGGGACAGGGCCAATGCGTTGATCTCGGCGTCGGCTGGGACACGGGAGGCACGAAGGCGGGCGACACGCGAACGCGCCATGGCTGCAATGGAAAGAGGTGGATGAGGACTTGCGTTCTCGGGGGGGGGGGTGTTTTGCTTTGTGAGTCAAGTAAACAGCCATGGCAACCGCGGTAGCCTCAAAAGTGGCGCGAAACCGGGGGGCGATCTTCGCGCGCGGCCCGAACTTCAAGTTCAGCGAAGTGTGAATGATCATCAAAATCTGTAATTCTATATTTTAGAACGGGGGACGTTTTTAGGTAGTGCCTCGTCAATTGCACAGTCGTGAGGAAGCGTCGCCGCACTGGACAAACAAGTTCCAATGGCGTAGCAAGTGCTCGAGTTCCTGCTGGTCGTCCTCTGACAAACGGGTACGCACTTAAATTGGAGTAAGTTATAGACATTGTCGCACTAAGTTAGAGCTAAAGAATAAGCCTTGTCAGTGATTTAACTGCTATTGATCAACCTTCGTGGAAAATCTAAATAGAACAGTGTTCTTGATAGTTTTTAATAAATGGAAAACGTGAATAGAACACCTTTTTTTGATAAATTTAAATAAATACACGAAATACAACTATAAATATGTACTATATGTAGTCTACTCATTCCATGTTCACTTCTGACATCGCCTTCAAGATGGACTTCACCGGACACGACCACGCTGACAGCACCACCCCACCCACCACCGCGACAGCATTCTTCGAATGGTGCCAGCAGCACCTTAAGGAACGTGAGTGGCGCCACCTCGACCAAGCGGCCGCCCGTTTTTTTTTTACGGCTTGGGGCCTTATTCAATGAGGCTCGGCTAACGACGTTGCCAGCGCCTTTTTGACGCTGTACCGCAAGCCCGAATCACTAAGGCCCGTCTCATTGATGCGGCAAGCCAAGGAATGATGCGGCAAAATGGAATGGGTGTTGCCAGCTGGTGTCGCCTTGATATCACAGCCGGTTTACCAGATGAGCACCATCCTTGACGGCCGGCGTGTCGACCCCGGGAAGGTTCTCTTTCTGACTGCTTGGGAACCCAGCAGCGAATCTCCCATCAGGCGAACTGCGGAAGTATCGACAACGTAAACGGCGCAAAGTGGAGCGCGCTTACATCGAAGCTGAAGCGGAAGAAGAATAAACAAACAGATTACATTCTATTACAGCAATTCATACATTAATTTCTTCTTTGCATTTTCACAGAAAAAAAGTCATCACTGAAGTCCACCCGATCAAACCATTGAAACATGACTAACTCCATACAGCCATCAGCTGAAGTGGTACAGGCGCTATCCCCTTCAACTCGCTCCGCACAAGCCGCCCAAACTAAACCAGGCTCCAAAGATTATCGTCTGCAATCAAACGCCGCCATGCCGGTGATCAGGTCCGAGGCACGCCGCGCCCGCGTTGTTATCGTAATCAGAGGTTCCAAAAATGTTATTTTTATTGAGACTGGCAAAACAGCAATACACATAACTTTAAGTGTTTGAAGCACCACGGGTGCAAACATTATTGGTGTTATTGCATGCAATATACAGTGGGCTGGTACCCGTCTAGTTGGCCACGCACAGCCTTCCGGACTGTGGCAGCGCTCCAGTAGGCTCGGTTCACCTTGAGAAATAGAATCGACTCCAGGTGCAGCGGGGTCATGCTCTGGCGGTAAATTCCCAGCACAGCCTTCGCCTGGCTGAAAAAGCGCTCCACAAGGTTAGACGTCGGCGCGATGCGGGCTACATGGTCATTAAAGCGTGGTGCTTTCTCCCTCTGGCGACGTGCCTCCACAAGTATGTCCTTCGCGAAATCCTCTCTCGCAGCTTTGGATGGGGGCTCTTTATCTGTGGGTCGAGTAGCACCAGACACGAGCTTGACAAGCACGTCGGACGGTTCCTCTGAGATGGCTGCCTCGTTGCCGAGACGAACCTGGACGCAAGCTTCCTCGAACGCGGGACTTATGACGATCGGTGTGTCAGGCGCGAGGTACTTCTTGACGTCTGGTGCCAGCTTGATTAAGGCGTCGAGCAGGTCGCGCACATCCAGCAGCGTCACACTATCAGCCTGTTGAAGCTGCTTCGAAGTTGACTCAAACTTCTTGAGGCTCTCTAGAACACCCACAAGAGCCTTCTCGTCACGACGGGAGAGGAGCATCGGCGTTATCTCATCGTCATCAATCTTATCCATTACTTCCTTGAGCTCTACATAGCGGCGGACCATCGCAAATGCAGACGACCAGCGAGTCGCCTGACGAAGTACCGGACGCAAGGTGCTCACTCGGCTGAATACAAAACATTACAAAAAATATATAAAATATTAGAATTCAATCCCAGAGTAGTGTAAGGTTAAAAGGAGACATACCGTAAATGAACAGCGGCAATCAGGGAGCTATTTAGCTTGATCATGACGGCCTGGACTTGATCAAGAAGGTGATCGTGCTCAGCTAGCATGAGCTTCACGGCCAGGTTGAGGCGGTGACTGGCGCAACCCACCAAAGCGACTTTGAGCTCCTCAGCAATTTTACAACATACACTGCAATTGTCACCAACAATGTACGCGATGTTGTCGGTTGACTTGTTGAAGAATTTTAGTATAGCCCCTATGAAGGACACATGTGCAGGGGCCGTATGGTCGTCCACATCGTCATCCACCAATGGAGCCATGGCGAGCAACACGTTTTCAGTCTCCCTGTCGTGGTGAAAGATGGCGAAGATCGCGACGTAGTGCTCCGACCGAAAGGTCTACCCGTCAAAAATGATGCCAAATGAGTTAGGGAGGATATCGGAAATTACGATTTCGACCTCACGAGTTAGTAGCGTCATGTACTTCACGAGACTGTCGGTCGACAGAGCGTCGATGCTCAAGTAGTCGGCAGCGGCCTTCGACTCGCAGAAACTGAATGGAACGTTGGCTGTGAGCACCATATCGATCCAGGCGAAGATCTTGGCCGTCTTGTCGTCGATGAAGCCGACAAGAGTGCTCTTCTCACCAACAGCTGCCGTCACCTCGGCCACGAAACTGGAATGCCACACAAAGATGTGCTACAGCAACTTCGTCTGGCCAGTGTTGGGCTCCATCTTGCGACGGACACCACAACGACAGCGATAGAAGACGGTGGCCTCACCATCATCGTCCAACACGACCTTGAAGTAGAACCTTGCCACTTCCTTCGCGGTGAACGGAGCTGTGGACTGCTTGGCCTTCTTTGACGGCCTCGTGGGCGCGATAGTGGCCTGACTCGTGGCCGAGGCTGTGGGCGGCTGGTTCTTCGTGCGTTTCGTGCGCTTCGGAGGCATTGCGGTGGGTGTGAGTATTGGAGACAGATTGGACAATGACAATGGTGCACAAAACTCAGGTGGCTCTGGCGGAGTCTCAGCGACCAACTATCAAAATGAGAGGGCAAGAGCGCGGCAGATCGATTGTAGATTGCGTTTCAGCTAGACCGCTGGTCCGTACGGCTCCATCGAGCTCGGTTAAAGGTTATTGCCTGGAGAGAGCGCGGAATAATTTTTTTTGATTTTGAAATGGGAGCTCGCAAATAAATTATTTACTGTAAAATAAAAACTATTTTTAATAAAAATAACATTTTCGGAACCCCTGGTTGTAATGCAGTCGTAGAGTAGTCACAGTGTTCATTCGTAGCCGTGCGATAGCCGTGGGTCCACACGCGGGCGCCGACATGCCGGTAGTCACGTCCGAGGCAAGCCACGCCCGTGTTGTAGTCGTATTGCAGTCGTAGAGTCCAAGGCACGCCTTGCCGCGATGTAATTTTTCACTGGAAATTGCAGAATGAGCTGACCGCTCTCTCTCGGAGAGGCAGTCAGCTCTGATTGAGTAAATTATTGGGGGCACGACGACGGAATGGATGGCCCGTGGCTGCGTCCCACGGTCGATCCACAGCAGCTGTAACAGCCTCTTACCCACACCTGCGTGGCACGCAGATGCTGTATGTGCTTGCTGGACACCAGCGTGTGTTTGTACTATTTTGTCTTTAAGTATCACTAACAGTTTTTGTGCTCTAAAAGCGCCAGTTGTTTATACTTACACAAGCCTGTAAGTGCTGTGATAAGAGAAGAGCCAGGTTATTGTAGTCTAAAGCATCCTACACCCCTGAACACAATTATACGGCTACCTCGTCGAGTGCCCATAACATAAAATCTCCGACCTCCGACAACCTCCGACTTGTACATGAATGGCGGCACATCTAAGCCAGTAACTCTTAAAACAAATATGTTAAGTTTTCTTTTCTAACTGTGGGCCACATTGAAAATGTATTCACAAATAAAAAGGAGGGGGGGCGGTCTCAGTGCGGTGACAGGGCGGCGGCAGGGCGGCGGCAGTGCGGCGGCAGCGCGATGGCAGTGCGGCAGGGCGGTGGCGGTGGCAGGGTGGTCTCAGTGCGGTGGGAGTGCGGCGGCAGGGCGGTCTCAGCTCGGTGGCAGGGTGGTGGCAGGGCGGTCTCAGGGCGGTCTCAGTGCGGTGGGAGTGCGGCGGCAGAGCGGTGGCAGAGCGATGGCAGTCAGTGCGGCGGCAGAGCGGTCACAGGGTGGTCGGAGTGCGGCAGGGCGGTGCACAGGAGCCAGCGAGCCGGAGTGCTCAAGAATTAATACTACGTAATAAGGCAATACATGTACATTTAATTGACGCTTGCTACATATTGCACTACGTAATACGCAAATAATGGATCACCACGCAGGGGTTGTTGCATGTATTGCTCCTAATGGCGAGTAAGCTCCCTGCGGCGCTGCTTCCCACCTCTTCTAACCTTACTACTAGTAGCATGATAAGTCTAAAGATTTACTACATAGTAGTATAATTAGTGTGTGGTAATGATTGCACTGGTCGGAGAAAATCGGAGAAATGACTTTATGCATGTGATATGCCTACATATTAAAATTTGTAAGAGCATATTCATATTTCCTGAGTCCTCTCCGACCCGATATGTCGGAGCCAACTCCAACGAGGTTTAACCTAACCCTTAACCCTTGGATTGGTTGAAATATTTTGTCAAGACCGTACGATTGGCTGTCTAATAAATAAAAATGGATGATTTGTGATTAATACCAATACTATAATTAAGTAGTGTCGGAGAATTGATAATTTTCATCCATAACTCAGTCAATTTTTAATCATTTGACGGTCCCGGTTTTCACACAAGTTGCAAGCAGAGGTGCGAGTGCAACACCCTTCATATAACACTATTGTCTACACTTCCATGCAGCTATTTTGAGCTCTCGATCCCTAGTGTCCATTTAATCGTCCACAGAAACTCAGCCAATACAAATTTCTGGTCAGACAAAAATACACATGTTTATTTTAAATGGGTTTTTGTATTAGGCCGATGGTGGCCGTAAGGTGTGACCACCTTGACAAATCTCTTTTTTGTTTGTGAGCCTCTTTATAAAGTGCAAAAACGTGAGCGTTAGCACATCCTTATTATTTTGAAGCATGTTTTGCAACTTGTGTGAAAACCGCACCGTCAAATAATAAAAATTGACTGAGTTATGGATGAATATCATCACTTATCCGACCTTACTTATGTTTTTGATGCGCCTAAAGTAGCCAATTACAGCATTTACATTAATTTGGACCAATCACAATAGTGCAATTACCTCATTTTAGCCAATATATTTTTAGGGGTAGGTGTGTAGTCTAAGCCAGCCAATCCGACGTATTAAGTCGGAAGAACATGAAAAATAAGTGTATTTCAATTCAAAAAGTAAGTGATGAACGTATCACTTGCATATTTGCAAAACATCCGACAGGGATGGAGAAGAGCTCAAGCCCGGAAACAAAAAAACGCGGAAAAGCAACCGCCATTGCGGCGCTCAAGACTTTTGTTAAGAGGGTGTCTGTAGATTTTGAATATGTAAGGAGCTGTATGAGAAATACGATAGTGGGAAGTGCATTGTGTCCATCTTAGATCTGTTTGGTATGTATCTAGCCTTTAATGAAGGCAAGAAGGGCAAACAACTTGCCCGTAATACAGCCATGCAGTAATATAGGCAGACCAAAATCTGGCTTTTCGAGCTCTTCCCTACACAGCGACACATTGTCGATGCAAAGTTGAATAGTATGGGGAAGACGCTATATAATTTTTGTCTGAAAAGAGATGGTAAGGTCGCAAATAAGGCGCCACCTTGCTCTTAG